TCTGACACGGCGGTCTTGTTGATGACACCGTTCTTGTTGATGCGCGCGTACTTTTGCGACATTGGCTCGTACCATATTATGTCGCCTGTGGAAAAGCCCATGATGATGTCGAGGTGATTTGGGCCTTTTGTGATCTGGTTTATGTCGTGACATAGCGCGTGCGCTTTGGTGAAGAGGATCTTGGTCAGGTGTTCGTCTTTGGTAGGCGATGTCAAGTCCAGCCACTGGAATGCGCGGTTGATGTTTGCGAAAGCATAGAGACCATTTGGGTTGTGTTCTTGCAGTCGCTTGGTCAGGGCCTCGTGGGGGATGACTCTGGATACGAAGGACGAGTTGCTCTTAACAATGTTGCTCTTCGGTTTCCGCCTCTTAGTAGGATCCTTAGAGTCTTTGCCGTTGATGACTGCCAGCGCCGCGTTGCCTTCGCCGAACACGGGTGTCTTTAGCCCATCCAGCGGAGACGACACGATACCATTGGCGCTGTATGAACCGCCATCGCTCGCCTGGCTGTTGGACTCGTACGGCGACTCCTGTATGCTCGGGGGCACTTGCGACCGGGTGCTCGTCCGTGTGCCGAATCGGTGGAGTTGCGACTGCGAGGGCTGGCGGGGCGCAAGGGCGACTAGCGAGAGCTTGGTGCCGGCTGTGGGAGGAGATACTGTCGTCGCAAGCGGGTTCGGGTTGTGGATGGGGGCCTCTGAGGGATGCGGCGGGGGCGTAGCTAGGTGGAGGTCGTCGCGCAGCACATAGGTACCTTTCATAGCGTCAGTGAGGGCAGCGACTGCAGGGTCCAGGCTGGTTAATTACCTTCTCCGACGACCAGCTGGTGCTCGGGGCCGGTGGGGTGGGTGAGGGTGTTGTTGGTCTCGATAAGCTGGCCCGGCTGCGCGCCCGGGTAGCCTCCGACAGGATAGCGTGGCGGCGGAGGGAGGACGCTGTACACACATCAGTCGCGCGTCCGATGGGGGTGGAGCACGATAGGGCTGCCATTGGTGGGCGACTGGCGGTCAGCCAGAGATAGGACAGGTACTCACAACATAGCTGCTGCAGTGTAATCAGTTGCGGGCTAACTACGGCCTGGTGGAGTCGCGGTGCCTGGCTAGGAGTGACAGGGTAGAGTTAAGGGTAAGACATTAGCACCAGCAAGTACCGCGGCTATGGCATCGGCGTGTGAAGAGGCAGGATACGTCAATTTGGGCGCGCGCGGAGAAGGAAGCTTGTGGCCCGCGGCAGGCAGGCTGGGACTGGCATGGGAGCGCGGGCCATGGAACCATTGGGGAAGTGGAAAGCGGAGACGAGACGGGCGCCTTATGGCTCCGTGCACTGCGCAGTCTTATTAATTGCCTGCCATGCCGCTGGCCGTTGGTGGAGAGGACGAGGCATGACATGGGTCCGGCCTATCTGCAGGGCCACTCGACAACGGTCGACGCATTGCACCTCCCAGCAGCCAATCTTGCGGGGCTGCTGGCGGGGAAGCTCCAGGGCTGCGATCGTCTCCCACGTGTGCCAAGCCTTCTGACAGCACTGGTGCTGCCCTGACCACGAATCGGTGGGAGTGCTGTGAACATTGCACAAAAAGTCTGAATATTCTCACGGCAGGTCCGATCCATTTTCCAACCACTCACTCCCTCCACTACGTCCTTCACACCTGCCCAAATGCACCAATAATGCCGCCGAGAAATGGCGACCGGTATGTGGAGCTCCTTCCCGATAACACACTCACTAACATGCGCAGTACGGATCTGTCTTTGCGGTGACGATGGCGTCGGCAAGAGCTCCATCATCACGTCTCTTGTCAAGGACGTCTTCGTCACAGCCAAAATCCAGCCCGTCCTCCCACAGGTGACGCTCCCGCCCACGCTTGGGACGCCCGACAATGTCACCACCACCATCGTCGATACCTCCGCCCTGCCCCACGAACGACACACTCTCCGCACAGAGCTCCGCAAATCGAACGTCATACTCCTCGTATACTCGGACCACTACAGCTATGAGCGGGTGGCGCTGTTCTGGATGCCCTACTTCCGCTCCCTGGGCGTCAACGTGCCAGTGGTGCTGTGCGCGAACAAGTCCGACATCGCCTCGAATGGCACAACATCCCAAGTCGTGTCGGAGGAGATGCTGCCCGTCATGAACGAGTTCAAGGAGATCGACTCCTGCATCCGCACCAGCGCCAAGGACCACCACAACATCAACGAGGTCTTCTTCCTCTGCCAAAAGGCCGTCACACACCCGATAGCGCCGCTATACGATTCCAAGGAGAACGCACTCAAGCCAGCAGCCGTGTCTGCACTGCAACGCGTCTTCCATCTATGTGACACAGACAAGGATGGGTACTGGAACGATCAGGAGATTCACGATTTCCAGATCAAGTGCTTCGAGAAACCGCTGGGGGACGACGATTTGATGAACATAAAGAGGTCGATGGAGCGCTTTGCTCCTGGTCTGACCGGCGAGCATGGCATGGACGAGAAGGGGTTTCTGCTCCTGAACAAGATCTTCGCGCAGAAGGGGCGGCACGAAACCATCTGGATCATACTGCGGAAGTTCCACTACACCGACAGTCTCAGTCTCCAGGACACGTTCCTCCACCCCAAGTTCGATGTTCCTCAGTTCTCCTCCGCCGAACTCAGCCCGTCCGGCTACCGCTTCTTCGTCGATCTGTTCCTGAAGTTTGATATGGACAATGACGGAGGACTGAACGACAGAGAACTTGCGAATCTTTTCGCACCGACCCCCGGCATGCCGACATCGTGGGTGGACTCGTCGTTCCCATCGTGTACAGTGCGCAACGAAGCTGGATACATCACTCTACAGGGTTGGCTCGCGCAATGGAGCATGACTACCTTTGAAGAGCCCAAGACGACTCTAGCATACCTGGCATACCTCGGATTTGAGAGCGGCGAACGCGGAGGCACGACCAGCGCACTCAAAGTGACCAAAGCTAGGAAGCGGCGGAAGAAGCCTGGCCGCGTCGAGCGCAACGTCTTTCTATGCTATGTTATAGGATCGAGCGGAAGTGGAAAGAGCTCATTGCTGTCTGCCTTCCTTCAGCGACCGTTCAGCCACACCTACCATCCCACAATAAAGCCTCGTTCGGCAGTAAACAGCGTTGAGTTGAAAGGTGGCAAGCAATGCTATCTGATCCTAGAGGAGCTCGGTGAACTCGAACCCGCGATTTTAGAGAACCAGGCCAAGCTAGACGCGTGCGATCTGTTGTGTTATACCTACGACTCGAGCGACCCCACGAGCTTTGCGCATGTTGTCGAGCTGCGGAAGAAATACCCCCATCTCGACCAACTACCAGCGGTCTACACAGCCCTGAAGGCAGACCAGGACAAGACGATGCAGCGATGCGAGCAGCAGCCCGACGAGTACACCAGCGCCCTGAGAATGGCACCGCCACTGCACGTCAGCACGACGTGGAACAGCATATCGGAGCTGTTTGTCCACGTACGTACTACATCCATTGATTAATTCCACGAGCTAACACCGTATAGCTGGCCGAAAGCGCCACCCACCCCTCGACAGCCTTCCCCAAGCAGGAAGAGGACGGCTACGATTATCTCAATCTTTACCTAGCGCTCGGAGCCGTCACGTGCGCAGTGGCCTCGGCGATGTTTGTCTGGAGACGCAGCAGCGCATCGACCTGAGACCTGAGACCTGAGACTACGCCAACCTAGGAAAAAGCTGAACAGCCTAGAGCCTACATTGGCGCTGGGTTACTGCCTTTGCAAGGTTTTGGCTCAATGTCGCCTACAGACCTGTTCAGTTTTTCCCTTCTATGAGGTGCTGAGATCTGAGACCAGGGGCCAGGCATGAATGTGAATCTTTGCTTCTTGTATATACCATGGCAGCACACCACTCCCACCCCTATAGACAAACTACTCGCAATAGGAAAAATCCCAAGCGTCGGAGATGATGGCAATGCAGCCCTGGAGCAGTCACGATAATGGCAGCGCGGAGGGTCAGCGCTTAAGCATGACATCACCTTGGCGTGCGGCTACGTTGTACAACAGACAAGTCTCAGCGGCACGAGCGAATAGGTAGACGCAGGGACATTTACCCCTGGCGCTTCGGCCTGACGGGGAGTAGCGCCAATATGTGGATAGATGATATCGGTGAGTTAGCATGGGATCACGATGTTGGGCTGGGAGCGAGGGAGGGTGACAGCTCGCTTGACAATGGTGTGGGCTAGCGACGTGCTTCATGGTGCACTTCCGTGACTTAGTCCGGGGATCTGCGAGTAGTCTGAGACGAGACGGCTATTCTTGTCTCTCGCACGCATCACATTCGGTGTCAACGTGAACACCCGCGTGCTGCCGAAACCGTGAAAACTCCATTCGGGGTTCCTTTTGGGTGTAGACGTTGAAACGGTCTAGTTGTTTTTGAGCAGGACCCTGGATGCGGTATCGAAGTCGCCCGGCTGGGTAAGGCGGACATGGATTGGCTGTCTGGCGGGTTGAGGGCGGCTGCTGGCAGACGTACACTCGGCTTGTGGTGATGCCCCCCTGTGTGGCGGAGCAGCTGGAGGGCGCCGAGTCGTGCATCTTGGGCGCGCTCCGGGCTAGTGACATTGCAGTTAGTTGGGGTGCTGGCTGGACATGTGCATCACGGCGCGAATGTGTACCTCTACTATTTCTCCCTGAGACCATGGTGCTTGATACTCCTTCGCCGCAGCACCAACACGCCCGACCCGTCCGCCTCGCAAACCTTGGGCCCTTGGATGCCCGCACCGCCTCGGCGCCCTAAGCAAGCCGTGGCAATCGTGCTAACCCGCACCTCCGCACCTTTCGCAAATGGTGAGTAGCACGTGTCTAGCCTCAGGCAAACATCTACCAAATACTGTGGTGACAGTTGAAGTCGCCATTGTTTCGTTTCCCTATTCTCCCGGCAAAGGCCCGCGGCGCCAACCGACGTTCCAAGGAGCCCCCAAGCTGACCAAGTCTCGTACCCCACAGGCAACCGACAGAGCCAGAGAGCTGGACCGCCTATATCAGATGCGAAACCCAGGCCCGCGCCGGGGGCACGCGCCGCAGATATCCATCAGCGATGACAGCCACCACGTCACCGAGGCCATAGGCGACATGTACGGCGGCGACAGCGACACCGACGCCCCCAACCGCCGCAGCCTCCGACCCCTAAGCTTCGTCCCCAGCCCCAACGGCGACTCGATCCAGTCCTTTGGCGCCTTCGAGGCCTTCGACCCCTTCCCCAACGCGCCCCCCGCGAGGTCCCCGCTGCGTCCCCAGATGTCCTTCGAGAAGCCCCAAACGCCCACGAGCCCCAATGGCACCGCCAACATGGCCCAGAAGCGGGCCTCGGTCGCCCGGCACCCGTCCAACGGCGGCCAGATGTCCCCGCCGCTGTCCCGCTCGAATTCGAACACGGCGTCGCACCAGTTCCCGCTGAACAACCTCGACTACGAGAACAGCCCGGCGGGCCTCGCCCAGGAGCTGAGCAACCTGCAGGCGATACGGAGGATGTCCATGGGCGTTAACAATGCCGATCCCGATCTGCCTTCGTTCCAGTCCGCAAACTCACCGCCCTCCCCACCGGCCATGTCGGAAGAGGACGAGTCGAAACTCTTCTGGGTACCCGCACGCCTGCACCCCGAACTGGCGCCCATGGAGTTCAAGACGTTCATCGAAGACAAGATTGACAGGACGAGACGACGCTCCGGAGACTCGGACTCGCTATCTCCGGATGGCGCCATGGGGCGTCAGGGCTCGGGTGGAGGGCTGCGGCGGAAGAAGTCCATGCTGTCCAGGCAGATTGATACTGGCTCTGGCTACAAGGACGGCGCCGAGAGGCTGGAGAGGAAGCGATCTGGCGCGCAGCCCAACGGGGGCTTGTCGAACCTTCAGGAGCTCGAGCACATACAGGAGGATCCGGTGGCCTTGATAAGACGGATGAGCATCGATCAAAAGGGCATGGCTGGGGAAGGGGAAGAGGGCGCTGACGGGATGCCCATTGTGCCGGGTAGCAAGATGCGTGGTCTGGGCACGCTCAAGAGATCAACACACACTACGTACAGACGAGGCAGTCTGCGGAAAGGCGGCCCGCCCCTCTCACGGCGACTCGTCTCTGGTCGACAAGGAGACACCGACACGGAAGATTCCCCGTCCACCTCGCCCGTCCACTCTACCGAGAGCATACCCGAAGTCCCTCCTCTCCCAGGTCTCAACCGCGTTCAGTCGGAACCCGTTAACTCGGCGTTTGAAGGATCGTCCAACAACTTCTCGCGGCCTGGGGCAAAGCGGGCATCTCCCAGCTATGGCGGCGAGAGACCAGGTTCATCTGAAGAATACCCCAGGTCAGCTTCTACTGAGCCCATATCCCAACAGGAACGAAGCTCGCCGCAGCCCAGGCAGTTCCACTCGAGAATCGCCTCCAACGGCCGCACGACTGCACCTTTGCCCGGCTATACACCTCCGCCGCAGCAGGTACCCCAGATCATCGAGACACCACCGCCACAAGAACAGAACCGAACACCTCAGTTTCAGCTACCCGAACGTCACTCCTCCCGCCAACCTCCGCCTCAAGCCCAGCAACAACCTGCAGGCCCTCGCCATTATCCTCAGCCCCAGCAGCAACCCCCACAGCAACAGCGCCAGCCCCAGTCGTCGAGTCGACCGAACCGTCATGCACAAGCTGCTCAGTCGTCCCCGATCAAGCCCGCGCAATCCTTCGATGATCTAGTAGCGCATCCTTCGGCGATGCCCGGCCAGAACAACAGGGTCGATTCGCTGTCCATAATCCCGAACGCGCCAGAAGAGAAGAAGCTCGAACCGAAGGCCAAAGATAAAAAGGACAAGGATGGCTCTGAAGGCGGCCAAAGGAAGACGAGCTGGGGTTGGTTTGGTGGTGACAAGGAGAAGGAAAAAGACAAGAAGTCAAAAGACAAAGACTCGGAAAAAGAAGCCCCGAAGAAGGTCAAGAACAAGCTCAGCAAGTCCCAGGAGAAGGAGAAGGACAAGGGCCATGATGATACGAGACTGGACCTCCTGCAGACATCGATACAGGGCGGCGGTCGTGGTCGCGAGAGCGTAGTGCTGGATCGCGAAAGCGTCAAGCTGGAAGAAGAGCGGAAGAAGGAGAGCGCTAGAAAAACATCCAGCGAAGGCAAGAAAGAGAAGGAGCCTGGACTGCTGTCCTCCATCTTCGGAGGAGGAAAGAAAAAGGGCGAGAAAGAGTCGTCCCACAAGAAGAACGCCTCACGTGGATTATCGCCCGAGCCCCCGCCACGCATCTTAAAGCCCGATATCGACTACAACTGGACCCGATTCTCGATCCTGGAAGAACGCGCGATTTACCGCATGGCCCACATCAAGCTTGCGAACCCCCGCCGCGAACTCTACTCCCAAGTCTTGCTGTCCAACTTCATGTACTCGTACCTCGCCAAGGTCCAGCAAATGCACCCGCAGATTTCCATCGGCAACTCCAAGCAAGCAAAGCAAGCTCAACAGGCTCAGCAGCAGCAACAAGCCGCGCAGCAGAAGAAGGAGCAGCAACAGCAGCAGCAACATCAGCAGCAGACCGCTCAACAATCTCAGCAGCAGGTTCAGCAGCAGCAACCGCAGCAACATCAGCAGCAACAGTCGCAGCCTGAGGAGTTTGCTCAGTATCAGCGGTACCAGCAGGTAAGACATGTCGAGATTGAGTGTTTAGAAGAGGAAACTAACGAAGAACGTAGCAACAGCAACAGCACGAACAGCAATCATCATCCGAAAAGTCCTCACAAGAATGGCCCTCTGTACACCAACAACAAGCCAACGGCGGTCTTCACCAACAACAAAACGGCCAACATCAGCACCAACAACACCAGCAATCACAACAACAACATGCAAGAGGCGGATCTCAGCAGGGTAATTCTTATAACCAGAACCCGCGCGATTCGCATCACTCGAATCATAGTGCGAATGGCGGCGGTGGTGGTGGAGGTGGATATAGTGTAGCGAATACGCAGAATTATCTGGGGCAATCTGGTAAAGGGGGTGGGGGTGGTGGTATGGGTGGGGGTGGGGGAGGGTATAGTAATTATAGTGATGAAGAGGGGGGGAAGAGGGGGGATGACGATATGTGGTAGTGTGAAAGCGTATGGAAGACGGAAGAGGGGGCCAAGTAGGGATATACAGCCTCTTTTGAACTTACGTCTTCTTTTTTTCCTCTTTTCTGTCTCGAAGTTTGAGTTCTTTGTACATTTATAAGGGTCTCTTATCTAATCTTGGGAACGGGAAGGTGGGCGCATGGGGGTTTTATTGGGGGTGGGCATAGAGAGACGGATGGATGGGCAGATGGGCATCAGATGGGCTTTTTACGCTTGACGGATGGAAGATGGGAATGGGGGATTACAGATAATGTAATTTTTGCACCTCGTTACTCTCGTTTTCGCGCAAGTTGTTTCTTCTACCGACCTGGCTCTTCCAGCGCGTTCAGGAATAGAGGGATAAAGGAAGATGTTTGTTGATGGAGCAAACGTAGAAGAGCATGGAGCGATGTGTGGGTGTATTAATGAGGAGGCAATGCCGTACTGGAGCTGTTCACCCATCTTGCCATTAACCCAACACATCACAGTCAGCAACAACATCGATAGTACCGACTCCAGCATGGCTAAGACTAGGCGAAGCCAACCCGGCAAGAAACATCAAGACGACGATCAGCAGCCCAAGGAACCACCTGTCACGCCAGCTCCGTCCGATGCGAACATAGAGCCAGATACAAGCGAAATATCAGACGTGCTCTCAAACTTAGATCAAGAGTTGGAGGATGATCTTTGGGGTTTTCTTGATGAAGAGGTTGAAGCAGGAAAGCAAGGAGATGAGGAAGTGGTTGAAGAGGGGGACGGTGTTGAAGAGGTACCGGAGCAAGCCGGCGACGATATGGAGATTGACCAGGACGACGACGACGATGACAGCGGAGGAGAGACCAAACGAGACCTACTCGACGAGATCAAGAACAACTGGGATATTACTAGTCTACGGAGTATCATGGAGCTGGGGCTCGACAAGGTTAGAAACAAACAGCTCAAGGATACGTGGCTCTCCGGTGAAACCGACCTCGCCGACGAAGAATGGGACAAGATTACCCTACGCCTTTTCCGAGACCTATCGCGAATAACACGGAATAACTTCGACAAAGCCAGGTCACTACTGGATGAGTGGCTCCGTTACAGAAAGCATGACAAGGACGGAAAAAGAACAGGATTAGAGAGGGTCATAAAAGAATCTAAGTTGCGTAACGATCTGAGGGAAATCATCTACGATTTGCAGATGAAACGGGAAGCACGAGATAAGAATGACAAAGAGCCGGGTAAACCAAAGAAGAAGGACGCGAAAACGGATGACTCTTCCGACGTGGATCTCGATGACGGCTTGTATAATCTGGAAGTAGATCTACCTCCCGCGAAGAAGGGGAAGAAGGGATCAGGGCGAAAGGACAGCAGCAAGACACCAGGCGGTAACAGTGTGGATCGTTCGGGATCACGACAAGACAGCGGAGATGACTCTGGCTCAGGCCCCGATGAGATACCTCCGAAGGGCCCCCGCAAAGAGAAGAACGCAGAGGCCGGTGTGAAAGTCAAGAAGAAGCCAGCTCAAGCGAAGAAGAATGCACAGGCAAGAGCAAACGCTGCTGAGCCAGAAGCCGCCGACAACGCAAATCCTGCCAACGAGCCTCCTCCTGTCATCATAATACAAAACGAAGAGCAGAGAAACGCCGCAATCGAATACATATACCTCATCTGGGGCCCCGACTCGCTTTTATATGTCTTGCCAGATGCTCTGCGCCCAGTAGGAGTATCCAAGGATCAAGACCTGGCTTTTGAGATCGTCGCGGCTCTGCGCAATCTCTCCAATGTTATACGTACGCCAGATGAACTTGCTGCCTTCAGACAAGACCTGGAAGATCAGGTGGCGGGAGATGCCACGTTCACTACCGACGATATCGTGGCGCACATTGCGAGAGTTGGCGAGCCTTATTACCATGCAGCGCGAGCAGCTGACGAGATTCCGAGGCATCCGGCTGTTGAGCCCGTTGCTGATCAGCTGCAGATAGAGGAACCAACTACACGCAGGTCGCCGCGTAACCACAACGCTTCCGCAATCCCTCCAGCGGGTGGTCAGCAAGCTGCTGCTGCTCCTGCCTTAGATTTATTAGCAACAGCAGCGGCTGGCAGACTTAGAGAAATTGTGACGACACCGCAGCCTCCACGGCCTGTTATCCCCAGAGTACCCCAGCCTGCATCAGGAGCATCAGCGGCTACCCAAGGTCAAAACGTGGCTAAATCCAACAACGGGAACGAAGGTACAGCTCAACAGTCTGAGAAGCCCACCACGCAAGAAGCAGCTGGGTCTGTGGACGCGACTGGTCAGTCGTCAAGCGCAGTTAACTCCTCGGGCCCAGTTCAACCTCAGCAACCTCCACCACAGCCTGCTGAGCAGCGATCCTCACGCCCCAATGCCGCCATACGCGACAACGGCTCAGGGTTCAGATTGGTATCAGCTCTAGGCGCAGGACCAGCCGGCCAGAAGCCAGCCAAGCGAAAGCCGAGTATCGTGGTGGAGGAGGACGATGACGACTTGGCCTCGTTGGAAGAAGACGAAGACGACACAAACCACAGGCCGACCAAGAAGCCAAAGAAGAATGGCAAGCAACCAGCTAAACAATGTGATACCATCGCAAGACCAAGAACCGGAGAAGCCTCAGTCGCCAACCGAAACTCAAGAGCAGAAGATTCGTCCGAGCTAGAGGGCCTTATAGCACAGGCAAGAGAAGATGATGCAGACGACGAAGACCGCGTTCAACCTCCTGCCACGGAAGCAGAGCTGCGGCGCGCGTTGAACACCTTGGATATCAGGGATGCGGATATATTGGTGCTTCAATACAGGCGCAGGATAGCGTATCTCCGTAGTATCGGTGCGTCTACTCCGGCAGACGCGTTGCAGTTGCGTGCCGCGATCGGACTGCGAGAACGTGTTGTGGCGGCTGGGGATGTTGATCGTGTGAGGGAGAGTTTACAGGAGCGACGGGAGAGAGGTGAGGTGGCTGCGAAGGTGGCGGATGGGCATAGACTTCTGATAGAGGTTCTGGATGAAGGGGCTGGGGCAGAGCAAGCTGGAGGTAGAGAGGACAGACAAGGTCAACAAGGGGACGATGTCGAGGGCGGTGGAGAAACGAGAGACGGACGCAGCAACGAAGACGAGATCGGTGAAGGCCGTAAGAATGACGATGGAGACGACATGGAAGAAGAACCAGTAGAGTGATGTAGCTTTGTGTTCATAGCACGTAGTGACCACTGAAAATTGACATACCCTCATGCCAGTCTTTCTCGATCGGAGTAGTAACTTCATCGCGAACATCTAGATCTATCTCTAGTCTTTTTTTGGAATGAACAGCAAGACTCCCATGTACTCGTTCCATTACTAAACGGTAAGATGCCATGCTTAGGTAGACTTGTTTATCGCGAAGCATCTTCGAAATGCGATTGCTTGGATTCTAGATTGCTCTACGAGGAACCAGTGCCAACTGAATGCCGTTCAGGTTTGGGAGATGAAAGAAAGAGTTTGTTTGGATGCAAACGATGGAATGAGATGGGTCTGCGAAGGCTTATATATAGCCAAAGAGAGTCGTGAGCTGAGATCGCAGTTCACTCCGTCCCCAAGATAACTGCAATTGTTCACCCATCTTACCCCTCAATCTCTATGGGAAAAGAGAAGCAAAACACGGAAGAAACGGATCTCAGAATGTCGCCGAAAGAGAAGAAAAGGTTTACTCGCTCGCTACGAGAAGAGAACAGAGAACGGAGAGAAAGGCAACAGAACGATAGTAACGAGAACGAAGGTAATGAGGTACCCGTCGCTGCCACTGTACCCACTGCGCCAGCTGCACCGGCGGCACCAACCACACCTGATGCGGATCCTGATACAAGGGAAGACAGTATGATGGTTGATGATGAGGCGGATGTGGCGAGAGAACAGGAGGTTGAGCAGGAGGCGGAGGAGGCAGTGGAAGATGGCGTACAGAAGCCGCACCGCGAATCTAACCCTGAAGACGAAGAAGAGCTGCGAAACTACTTGACTGAACTAGACGACGAAGTAGCTGGACCGGCGACTGCGAGTGATCCTCCTCCTCCTCCTGTGGGTAATGCAGCTGCGCCGGCGATTGCACCTGTCCCGGCCCCTGCTCTGACGGACGCTCAACGAGTAAGACAAGAGACGAATGCCATGGCTACGAATTGGGGTCCACGGTTCAGTACCCTGAGCGGCTGCATACCGGCAAATACATGGCTCAAAGGTCAAACGAAGAACTTGACTGAACACACATGCGAACCAGCTACCCTTAAGCAACTGCGGGAGTTATCCGACGCAACTCCTAATCTCGGCAAAGAAGTCAGAAAGAAAATTGAGTCGCGCTGGAACACGAGAAAGTCAAAGACTGGCGATATAGGTAGTACGCCGGCTGAGAAACAGCAGAGCCTGCGCGATGATTTGGAGAGGATACTAAAAGAGTACGAAAAGCAGGCCGAAGCTCAGGGCAAAGGCAAGAAGAGATCTGCAGGAGATGACGGTAAAGAGTTGTCTGAGCGCAGGAAGACCTTGAGGCATAGCGCAAAGCCGAACTACAACGACCTAGACCCTCACCGCCTACATCAAGACGACGACGACGACGACTCTGGCTCAGGTTCCAGTATTATACTCCACGACGGCCCAGCCCCGAAGAAGGCAGACGATGGCGGAAAGGCAGCGGCAAGCGCAAAGCAGAACGGCAAAGCACCAGCGACTGGAACAGCAAACAACGCCACGCAAGCCACAGTACTCACCGAATTACAGAGAGGCCGGGCACTCAGTGACATCTATATCAACTGGAACATCTACCAGTTGCATCTCGACTTCCCCCGAGGCCTCTTTCCAGCCAACATAACGAGCGATACGGCTATCGACCTCAGACTCGTCGCACGATTGCTTGACCTTTCCAACCTTCACGATGATTCTCGGCAGGCTTTTGCTCTTATGGAACGGATCAGGACTCACTTGATGCAGAGTTTTGTAAGGGCGAGAAGTACGGATGAAGCCCTTGCTTTCCTCGCACAGTTTGATAGACCGGCACATGCCGCAGTACCGACACCAGGAGGACCGACGACAGGGGCAACTACGGCAAATGCAAGCGGAGGGCCATCGACCAGAGAACTGGGGCGAGGTCCTCCTCCGCCCCCACTGGGCACCGGGAGACGTAGCGCCTTGGACATGATCGGAGGGTCCTTTGGGGATGATAGCCCGCGTGGACAGCCGATGGTACTCAACGCAGAAGAAAGAGAGCGCAGGCGCCGAGACCGCGAACTTCATCCTCCAACTGCGTTAACAAACCAATCATTCCGAGCTTCGCAAGATGCGACACAGCCTGCTGCACAACCAGGACTATCGCGTGTCGAAGGCGGTGTCCTGACTATAGGAACGAACTGGACGCTACGCCGTGCTCTCAACGACAGTAGACAAGCAGATCAACGCATTCACTCGGCCCGCCGTAGATACGAGCAGGCTGTGCTTAATGGACAGTCGGTCCAGGATCAAGCTGCGCTGCTGTTGGGGATAGAAGCAGCTAGAAGAGTGAGTGATGAAGCGTATGCGAGGACGGATGAGTTACAGGGACGCTGGGCAGGAGCACCATCGAGACGAAGTACGATGGGTGATGGTCCAGGGGGTCTTACCGGTGGCTCTAGATTGGGACGCAGCGCGCAGGCTGAGGGCGTTGGCGAGGAGGAAAGCGGAGAGGGACAGCAGGGAGGAGATGGAGGAGAGAATGGCGGAGGGAACGCTGGAGGGAATGGTGGAGAAGGTAGAGTGAAACGCAAGAGTAAGACGAACGAAAAGGAGAAGGAGAAGAAGTAGCGGAACACGACGTGGTCAGCGTCTAGCGAATGTTGATAAAGCTATTGTTTCTCATATCACCCTCTATCTATTACACTAGTGAAACTTCGACGAGTCGTTAATTCATCAAGCGATGTAATCGAAGCAAATTAAGACGCTCCAGCTTTTTATGTGTCTTCGAGAACACCAGCTGCCACATTTGCGTCTTCCCATGCCATTGGTAACGATGCTAGCAACACATCGGCACACTCCAATGTATCATTATTCAGATGTTCGCTTGCTCTGCTGAATACTAGTACTGCTTTAGAAACCTTTGGAGCGATGCCTTGTTCAAAGTTCAAAGAGCGTGCTTGCTCGAAAACAAACATTGGAAAGAGATAGACATACACGGGACTATCTTAAAGTAAGGAGAGCCATAAGCTGAGAGTATAGTCAAAGCAACTCTCAAGACATCCTCAACGCAATGCCCCCAAAGACGCCCAACCTCAAAGGAGCTGAACCCCCTGGAGACACCCAGGCCGAAGCCCAGGAACGGAGACAAGCAATCAGCACCATTATCGCAAACTGGGGCCCGGCTTTCTCCACAATGACAAGTTGGATGCACGCCGACACTTGGCTCCAGGGCAGTACGGAGAGAATGACAGAGTTCACCTGCGACATGAGAACTATACGCGCGTTTCGAGATCTGTCAATCGACCATCCAAATCAAGGCCAAGAGGTCAAAGACCAAATCGAGCAGTATTACATTTTGAGATACCACTCCAAGAAGGGCTCAGCGCCCATCGGAAAGACAAAGTCAGACAAGATGGGTTACATCTGCGAGGATTTGCAGAAATTGCTCGGGAACAACTTCATAGACCACGCGAAGTTCAAACAGAACAACACGAAGAAGAGACCAGCAGCGGGAAAAGGGGCTAGGAAGAAATCAGCTGCCAGGAAGAAGGCAAAGAAGAACAATACCTCTACTGCCGCCGCCGCCGCCGCCGCCGCCAGCGACGATGAAGATGAAGATGAAACGATCACATCTGAAGTGGACGAAGACGAAGAAGAAGACGAGTCTCACCGAGCACCCAATCCTAAGCCTGCGACTAAACCAGCCAACAACGTAGCGGGAGATGGGAACGAACGAATAACCAGATCACACGGAAAGAGTGGGGAGGAGAAGGGAGCACAGCAGACAGAAAGGAGAAACAGCAACGCAAACGAAGCAGAGGACGACGACACTTCAATCATCTTCAGCGAGCCACCCGAAGCCGAAACGATACATACGTCTGACGATCGAGACGCGGCACTCGCTCTCATATACTCCAACTGGCAGATCAACTCACTTCACCGCGACTTCCCAGCTATCCTACGCGGAGGCGACCCTGATGCTGAAGGGGACAGTGGTATTGAAGATGTGATCGTCGAGCTGCTTCGCGACTTGTCTAATGTTTCTGCTACCAAACGACAAGGCAAGAAGATCAGCGAGGAACTAGAGGTGCGCTGCAAGAGGATGAAACGGTATAGTCTCAAGGCTGTTTGTCAGGCTATCACTGCTACTGCAAAGAATTATCGCCGGGTATCGGTATCGGAAGACTCGCTAGGACTATCAAGCGATGAAGGTGGTGCGGATGGGCAAGTCCCGCAGCCAGACGTTGCGCGACCAGCGGCACGACCAAACGGACACCGACGTTACGCCACACGAAGTGATGAGGCGTCTGAAGAGATGCAAGCGGCCTGGGATGCAGTGGTAGTTGCTGAAGCGGCGGTCAGAGTAGCGCAAGACAAGCGTACGCGCGCTGCTTTTAAGAGCGAAACTACATACCAACAAGCAACTCGCCAGTTGAGAGTTTCTGAGGCACAACTCCGGGCTGCTGAGGAATATGCAAAGGCGAGAAGTCTAGGAAGACCGCAGAGAGTGGATGAGACGGCTGGGCCGGTTAAGCCGGGTAGGGATGGGCGCACGCAGAGACGGAGTGGTGATGGTGGAGGTGTAGTGGAAGGACGAGAGCAGAACCGGAAAGGGGGGGCTGGAGACGGTGGATATGACGGAGTAGATGTCAGGGAAGGAGAGGGCAATGACGAACGTGATGAGGAAGAAAGAGTGGCCTAGAGTAGGAGAAGGGTCTCGCCCAATCGCCTCGCGGATATCGTGCGAAGCGCTCCTCTCTATCTCGAGATATTTAGACTTGAATGTCAGGGCGTTATCATACACTTACGTTTCACATGTCATATTAGCAAGTCCGAATAAAGAGACGAGATGCTTTCGCCACGTATACTTCGTCATACATGAGTGTCCGCGCGACAGCTAGTCGTCAGTCAACGCCGCCAGAAATGAATCATGACGACAATACTCATGCTATGCAACTGCTTCGCGTGACCACTGGTTCGCGCGTGCGTAGACCAAAGAAACCTTCCTGCAAACAGAAGTCCTTGTTCACCAACATCGCAAGCTTCGCGCATCGTATCGTATCAAGAAAAAGGCTACAGTCACGGATGTACAACCACCAGACTAGTGACGCGGAACGCCTGCCATATCTACGTCCTCCATGTCTGCCGAAAGTGGTGTGGGTATGCCGCCGGAAGCACTGGAGCGGCGAGTCCGAGAACCGACGTCCAACGTGGAGGATGAGCTGTCGCCACCGTACCTCCTCTGCTGGAGATCACGGAGGATCTTCTGGCCTTGGAGAAGAGAGTCACGTTGTCCGACAAGCTCCATACGTTGGTTGAAGCGATGAGAGGATTCCGAGAGGAGGCGCTTGGCGTTTTCGTAACCTGAAACGCAGCAATTAGCATGTATAGTCTCCCGTCTAGATAAAGGAAACTTACCTTCATGGCCCTCGTTCAGACCAAGACCATTCTCAAGCTCGTCGCGGAGTTGAGTGCGGAGCTGCTTGTAGAACTTGGACTCTATTCGCATACATACCGCATCGTGAAAGCGGCGCACGGCGAGCATGTAGTAGGTAGTGACCTGAGCGACAACGCCTCGCTCGACGAGGTAAGGCTCATGGTTGAATACCTCCATAGCCCTGACATCTTTCTTCAACCTCTCTTCTTCAGCAGGACTCATTGGCTTGCCTGTGCGCTGCGCTCTGCTGTTCTTGTACTTTGTGAAGCGATATTTGAAGCGAGCTTGTTGGTAGTTTTCTAAGACGGCCTCCTTCTCACATTCGAAGATGTCGTTGTGAAAGATGTATGGTCCTTCCTTCTCGTCGTTGAGGCTCTCGTTAGCCATGGTAGTGCGCTGCTGGTCGAAGTTGGTTGCTAGCATCTCTTCAACGATCTTCCATGCGGTCTGATGGAAAGTTGAGCCCTGCCATTTCTTGAAGTGTTGGGTGAACAGAACTTTCATTTGATCCTTAATCTGCTTTTCGAAAGCATCGAAGAATTTCGCAAGCGGCTGGTCCCAGTGTTCAAGCGTGCTGAGCATGAGGTTGTCGACTACTCGTGGCTCGATCTGGCCTGGTACCTTCGACTGAGAGTGTTCGGACAAGTAATCAGTGACTTCGTCGAGAACGAACTTCTTCTTCAAGCCACGGAAGTCTGTAATCATTGGTTGTTCTTCCAGCGGTTTGAGCAGACCTCGCTTCGGTGTCTTGACTGGAGAGAGCCCCGGCATGCCGTCGATCTTGCGCTTCTTGGTAGGTGTCTCGGGATTGTTGCGCGCTGCAGACTCACTATCGTCGCTGTGCTCTCCGTCATCGTATTCGTCATCGTCGTCGTCTAGCGAAATAGCTTTATTCGCAGAACTTCCTGGCTGAGAGTCTAGTACGTCTGCATAAACGCTTGCGTCTCGACGTCCACCCGTCGCCATTGTGGGCTTCATACTGACTAGCGCATCGAAGAAAGCGTTTTGCAGAAGCCTCCACTTGTTACGCCATTCCTTGCATGGGAATTCGGCTTCGAGCTCTTTGCGAACCCCCTGTGAGAAGTCGAGCACGATGTCAGAGATGATACGCGACGCGTTGTGGTTGGGAGGTTCAGGGAACTGTTGCAGACGAGCCTCCACTTCAGCAAGCCGAGTATCGATCTCATGCTCGATGACTGGGAGCTTCTTCGTTATCTGGTCGGCAAGCTTCCCCGAAAGGAAACTCTGGAGATTGAGAGTTCCGAATCGGTGTGCATAATCTTTGAAGGTTGTAGACCACGGGTCTTCTCCGCTGAAGAAGTGGTGCTCTTGCAACCGAGCCTCTTGATGTGTAAGGCCTTTGTTAAGTTCATCCTGTGCTGGGTTCTTCACAACGAAGTAACCGTGCCCTAGCGCGAACCGTTTCTGATCGAAGACTTCCATTAGTTTGTCGTGACGTGATCCCTTCGGCAGGCAGTCGGGTTTGGTGAGTACGCCTGGAAGCTACGTTAGCAAAAGAAGTTATAGACGATGATTTTACATACCAATGCATCTGTCAGTAGCCTTCAAACTACGCGCGATGCCAGCAGCGGTTGAATTGGCGATATCAGTCGCTAGCGAGCAGGTGACTAGTATGAGAGACTCGGCGTCTTTGACGTAGTCCACAACTACGTCACGAACAAACTGGATGAGATACGCTTCTTCTTCAATGTCGGCTTGGTTGATGAGACCAGGAAGATCGTAGAAACTTAAAGACGGTGAACCCGGCTGAGTGATGGAGATGCATACAATGTTCGGACTGAACTTGCATTTGTGATGTTCTCCAAGTGCGGCAAGACTCGGAAGTAAGAATTCATGGTAGTCAATGCGGGGACTAATAGTGGCCAGTTGTGCGCGGCGAATGATATGCTCCAGGTTCTCAGGATTGTCGGTATCAGCGAAGAAAGCGTCGTTAGGCAGTGGTAACTGTATCCAACCGGGAAAGCGACGTTCGTGGCTTGGACCTGCAGGCTTGCCATCGTAACCAAAATTGCGTCGAAGTGTTACGGTCGCGCTCCAGCCCGCACGCGGATCATCGGAGGAGTCCAGCTTGATGAGAAGAGGGCATCGGGTGCATGTGTCATCGGCTCTAGGAGTCTTGATACCAGAGATGGCTTCAATCACTGAAGACTTTCCTGTAGATTGTTCGCCTAAGGATGTCAGCGAACAAAACCTTTGTATTATCTATAATTTGGTGACTTACCTAGCACGATGCACTTGGGCAGGGGAATGTCGTAGCGTTGCAAGCCTAAGGCCTCTAGTCGGCCAATTGTCGCAATGGCCTCCTTTACATGGATAGTAAGCGGGTCGATTTCTCTAGAAGCTGGTGTGTTGATTGGATGTGTTGAGTCTAGATTGTTGTCAGCTGAATAAAATCTTGTTGTGCTGGCGCTTTACTTACCATCTTGCCCAATCAGGTGAAGCGGCTCGAGGCCCTCACTCAGACGCGATACGTCGTCACGCGCGGGGTGGGTGACTGACGAAGGCATGTGCGGATTGCTTTGAGCGTCGACAATAGCGGTACCTTCGAGCGGTGCGTCCGCAATGGTGCCATCGTCGCTAGGTGAGACTGGTCGCTTTACAGCCTCCTTACGTGTGCGGCCTCGAGTAGCACCCACCATTTTGAGAGGTTGTACAGAAAGTCAAGTGGTGTAGTGGTAAGAGGTAAGTAGGTGAGTGTGGTAGCAAAGTTGATAACAACGAGAGCGCGAGCGCCAAGACTTGACTCTAGGCAGCAAATCCGAGGTGACACAGACTCCAAAGCAGGGTCCAGGAGCAGTACGCAAATGGAAACCATTGGACGAGCGTAGCAGCTCCAGGGCGAGAGGGCAGAAATGTCGTGGTGAGCGCGAGTCTGGTACCACTTCTGGAGCGGTGAGCGGTGAATGCATGATACGCATGAGCTCAGCTTGCAGCGAGGAGAAGACATGAGTTGGATGGACGACAGATGCTTGTACGTTACCTGCATGTAGGTCTGAGAACTCCGTCGAGAAATCGTCTCTTTTGCACGTGGTCTGAGAGTGATGTCCAGGTCACACTCTCACCTCGGAAGCGATGCACACGTCTCCGGAAACACAGTACAGAGAATTGATGCTGAAGATATAGAAACGATAACAGTCAGATTTGATGGACAAGCTGGGGGCTCATCGCGGGAGAAAGAGGCGGACAGAGGAGAAACGTCACACAAATGTCGCATAGCTGCTACTACCACAGAATAGACGCAGCACGCCAACCAAAAAAAAGAACTAAACAGGCCTACAGCCTACATTAACTTAAAACCCTACAAGATAGGTAGCTTAGCGTTAATGTAGGCTCTAGACCTATTTAGTTTTTTTCTTGTATGAGGTAGTAGTAAACTTCGCGACGAATTGGTCTGGATGTTGCAGTATAGATTCATTGGACGTGCACAGTCGCAGGCGATGGGTGCTGCGCGGAGGAGCGATTTGTAGCTCCATTGTTCGACGGAGCTACTATGGCTGACAAATGACAGAGAAGGTAGCATATGAATCCAAACAGGCGAGAGAATGACGTCGCATAGATGGTTCTGATGGTGAGTGACGAGACATGGCAGGAGGTTTGACGGCACAAGTGGTCGCGCCAGTCCCGAAGATTTGCCGCTAGCGCCAAAGCAGCAAGGGTCCTCAAGAAATTCCATCGAAGCACATCGTCACCGGTGGCTACCGTCCGACCACAAGCTCGCCCACGCCCTCTCCTCGCCCCCGGAATCGCCCAAATCACATCCTTTCTTCTAATAATACATAATGGACCATTCGCGCGATCCCTGTCCCTGGGTCATTCTCAATGACTTCGGTGGTGCCTTTGCCATGGGTGTATGTCCCCACCAGCGCTGCATCTCTGACCCGTATACTAATACCGCATTAGGCTGTCGGAGGAGCAGTATGGCATGGTGTGAAGGGTGTAAGTATCTTTTCAACATAATAGAGGCCTGCGCTTACAACCTATAGTTCCGTAACTCACCCTACGGCGAGCGACGCATCGGCGCCATCACAGCGATCAAAGCCCGCGCACCTGTTCTTGGCGGCAACTTCGGAGTCTGGGGAGGACTTTTCAACACATACGACTGCGCAGTCAAGGGAATACGGAAGAAGGAGGACCCATGGAACGCCATCATCGCAGGATTCTTCACAGGTGGATCGCTCGCAGTACGAGGAGGATACAGGTCGATGCGAAACGGCGCCATATCATGTGCTATTCTGCTGGCCGTCATCGAGGGTGTCTCAATTGGCTTCAACCGCATGATGGCCGACAACACAAGGCTCGATGCGCCCCCACCACCACCAGCCGACGTCGGTGCACCATCTGGCGGCGGCGGCATGGCTGTGGCCGCGTAAAACGTTTTCGATTCACGATTTATACCTCTTCAGAGCGAACCGTTATCAGGCCACGGGCGGGCAGCGACATGTCTGATGTCTGGGCAAGCGGTGTTTTTGGGATGTTTGGCATATACCGCAGGCAGGTTTCGGCAGCGGGCGGCGTTCACACTCTCCTCAGCTTTGTGCTATACCTGTATCATATACGCGACACGACTTGTACAACATCTGGAGGCGTCTCTAGACGAAAGCTTGAGTGTGCGGAATTCAGAAGATACGACACATCTCAATGTTCATCAGCTATTGCGCACCCAATCTATCGAATCCGAGCTTACCGCAATAGTTTAAACCAAAAACCCGCCTAAAATAACTTGATGACATCATCAGACCCACTCCTCAGTAAACAATCCTCTGAGCTTCCCCGGCATCCTGCGGCGTTTGGGACACTTCAAATGCCTCGAAGGCTAGCACGCACGCGTGGGGAAGCCACTCAACGAAGTCTGCTATAGCTGCAGGTTGATGCTAGCTCCTTCGAGTCGGCGTGGCTGACGGCAATGAGCTTTGACCGCCTTTTTTACCCTGGAAATATCGCACCTGCCGCTTCATTCGATGTCTTCACCCCAAACCACGATGCTGCCTCCACACGCGCCAGAATTGCGAAACCCATCTCTTCCATCTCATAACTCTTATGTCTCGCACTCGACTATCCAATAACACTAATACGATTTACGACTCTTTTACCCAGACGCAAATATGGCACCTTCCAAAGATTTCGATCTATCGAAAGCCATCCAATCAGAGCTCACCTGCATCTTTCTAAGGTCCTCGAAACAACATGTCACCACTATCATGACCAACTGGCATCTCGAATTCGCCAAAGACTGCATTCCACGTCCACTATGGCCCCAGGACCTTTTCCCTCACTGGGGTGCCGATATCATTATGCTATTAAGCGAGATCTCATCACTACCTAGCGCTACTCTCCCAGACTTCACAAGGAGACTGAAGGAAGTTGTAAAGATGCGTCAACAGAAGAACAAGTCGGCGGCCGGCAGAACGAGTCGGGTCAAAACTGTAGATCTGAAGGCGGTTCTGAAACAATATGAAAGAGACGCCGACGAAATGGGAGCTGGGCTAGCAAGTCCGGAGTCAGACGCGAAAGAAAGGAAAGGTGGCCGCACAACCCGGACTACCCGTATACGGGTGCCGAAAACACCAGTGAACCACGACGACGACGAGGAGGAAGAGGAGGAAGAAGGCTCGTCTGAGCCCCTCGCGGGTGGAAAATACCAGTACCTCTCTGGCGTGCGACCCGTCAAAGTCAACCTGAACCCCGATGCATCCGCCGTGAAGAAGCCAACGCGACCTAAACCACCACCAAGAGGCAAGAGACGGAAAGCAAACGAAGACGCAATGCCAGATCCTCTGGCAGTCGAACTCCCGACTTTGGTGCACCAGGATCCCGACCCCCGGGTACCGGATGACACTGGTTTCCTCTCAGATCTCGAAGGTAATGAGGCGAGGGAGAAGAGCAGAAAGAGGAAGAAACGACTATCCAGGCTCGAGCAGCAAAGAATTAGGGAACCGCACTGGCAGCTGGATAACGATAACATCACTCTCGATGTTCCGACTCCGACGCAACCACCCGGTATTTCTGCTGTAGAGGACGAAGAGGAGGCTGCGACCATACCTGACGCGCACGATGACGAAGACCTGGCTTTGGACAACGCAGAAAACCCGACACCGGATAGTGAAACGCACGAACCGATAGATGCCACGGAAGAAGCCGAGATCGAGGCCATGAACCTACTAGCCTCTCTACCTGAGCTTCCGGCGAATGCGACAGCAACCGAGAAGAGAGAACTAGAAGAATTGAAGTTGAGCATGGAGCAGCGGATATGGCGAATCAAGGTGTTGAGGATAGAAGAGCGGGTCCAGAATGAGGCGCTGGCCGAGCGCGAAACGGAAGGTGAGGAAGAGCAAAGTGGCGTTCCTGGGGGGAACGCTGGTAGAGGCGGCAGGGTTTCGAGGACGGGGGAGAGGATGCGAAATAAGGGGCGAGCCAGACAGGAAGCAAAGAGTGGGGATGGTGGTGCTGTGGAGAGCGATACGAGTAGAGGGGGTAGGGTGTTGAGGACGCGCAGGGGGAAGTAGGGTATAGATGCGAGGGGCATAGGGCACTGATGGGGTAGCTTGATGGACAGTCTTACCCTGAGGCTTTCATTATCACATCAGATGGGGAGGCCGCTGTCTAGCGCCTTGGGATATATACGCTTGCTAACGTACCCGCGACCGACGCGAGTGCGCAATTCGAATTTACCGTCGCTACCATGGGTCCTGGTGCATGCATTGGTTGCTATCCACTTCGTCCACTGGTACTGTGATGACGTTTCATGACGGTAAGCCACTCACAAGCTCTGCGATCCCAACGTTACCAGACCCAATCGAATACAGCTACGACAGTATATTATACTTGCAACTTCTCTTATTTGTAAGAGCATCTTTTTGTTAAGGTCGTCGATGTTGCGGAAGTTGTGAGTGGCTCGTCTCGCTCTGCGTCATCGCAGTACCATGGGTATACAGCTACGATTCATTTTCCAATCTGCCCTTAAATTCCTTTCATGACTACGACGGCCTCTTTTTCTTTCACTTTTGAACCTGCAACACAGCTCCACAACGATATTGCGCTAAACAGTATGGCACACCGGTGAGTACTTACGATTTTACTTCAGATCCAACAGCTGACAAATATTGAGACGCAACCCAGACTCATTGCATGAGGACAATCCTTCTGATAGCTCCCATGACCCTCAAGAGGAAGAGTACCACGACTATCTTAGGGAGTGCGCAACACAATCTCCTTGTCGTAATGACACATACTAACACAACTCAGCGCAAGCGCATGGCTAGAAGACTACCGAGGGCGTGCAGAATTTCTGGCTTATGTGCCAAAGCTTACAGGCAAATTCAAATTTGCCACGAGCACAGAGTGCGACAATTTCGATGCGGCTGACCGCAGCCTTTCGAACATTCTCGCCCGGCTTCCAGCCGAAATCGACGAACGCATCATGATCCAAGAAGGTCCACGTTGCCGTGCGTTCTTCCAGACTTTGCGGGATCGTTTGCCGAAGGAGCTTCGTGAGATGGTCTTTGAAAATATTTTCCAGGGCACGTATGTCCTGTTGGAAGCAAAGGACGCCGAAATCGATAATGGTGAAGCCGATAACGATGACGACATTCCGGTCTGTGTGAAGGCAGACATTGGAAGGCACTATCCTTACAGCTACCTACTCAAGCCGGGATATATACACGACTCTGCGATAAGAACTGAGCTTATCGAGGCATGGTTCAGGACGTCAAACTTCATCATCACGGATGCCGCACTCATTCGCCCCTCTCTGGAGAAGTACCCATGGAGCGCTGGTCTAGACCCAGTCCAACTCATCAAACGGGTCGAACTGAAGACGAAGCCGCTGGAAGCCCCCTTGATGCGCGAGGCCATCTGCAAAGATCTAGAGTCTCTCGAATGTCTCAAGCCAGGCACAACCATCACGATTATCGTGGATTGGCCCCCTAGATGGCCTTTTCTGCGGGAGATCGAGAATCGCGCAGCGTCTCTATTCCCAGTATCATTGCGTATGATGGGTATGGGATACAAGATGATAGTTCAACCGTGGTGTTGCCGTAAGATTGTGGTGGAACGAGGGAACCGCAGGGTGGAGGCATGGTTGAGGGAGAATGAGTGATGTCTGCAGTCTACACGAGTTGGAAAGAGTAGTTCAGTTATACCTAGAGGCAATGTAGACTTTTGGGTCTGATACTGACTTGTCACGGTTATCTGGGCTTTTCTTCTTGTATGTAGTGGAGCTCTCCTCCGCCCGTACCATCCCAGAAAACATCGCATGCTCAGTTTGAAACTGGGTACCGCGCAGTTATAATGATTTCCTTACTTCCTTATTGGCTCTCGCATCATGACACTATATTCATGGACTTCGACAACGCTGTTCCCAAGCGGCAGCAGTACCGAGGTAGAGAAAATGGGCAGACCGGGCCGGGTGATAGACTACGTAAAGGGAAATAGGTGCAAGTGGGGGCGTATGTACTCAATGATCTGAGATTATTGAACCCATGGTATCCTCCGGCCGTGATTGCTCTTCCGCGGCTCTTTTGGGCGCGACTCAATCTCTGCTACCATGGATGTGAACGAGAGAGCTACAACGGACGAGTGAGAGATCGGTAATACAACATCATTGATATGGCTACTGAACGACTTCGGATGCAGGTGTTCGATATTTAAACCCTCGTATTCCTTCTGAATACTTCTATCGACCTTCCGCCTACTGACATTCGCAGTCTACGAAACAGCAACACTCTTTCGTATTGGTGGCTGTACCACGTTGCGCAAGATGGCATTACAGTGAGTAGCCATGTCAGTTCCATAGGTCTCAACAGCTAACGAACGACAAGGCGTCGATCACGATCGCCGGAGATTCCCGATTATGACGATGTCGATTCTGATACGCGCAGTTATTATCTCAGCTGTATCGCCGAGTAAGTGGTAGCGTTTCGTTGTGATCTGGCAATGTTAACATTGAGTAGGGCATCTAAACGGCTTCCGATCTTACTGAAACTGTTGAGATCTCTTCATCGATTTACCCACCACTCCAACTGGATGGCACTAGGCGATGCGACAAAGGATGAACTCGCCGCCTATCACGCGGCTGCTTGCAGCATTATAAACCAGATCCGTAGGATCAGGGCTGATGTTGAAGAGCAGATCGTAGAGCACGAAGCTCCTTCGTGCAATCAACTATTGCAGGAATTTTGGGATTTCTTTAGCGGCACTGGGGAGATTCGCAATTTGATGTATGGGTTCATCTTCGAAGACTCAGCATTGAGTTTAATAGTGGAAGAACGCGAATACTTCGGATTCGCCGTTCGCTCTTATGTTGGGGCAAAGGTAAGTTCAGACTGTACCAAGCGCGTGTGAGATATATACTGACTCTTTATCTGTGCCTCTACAGGCCGGGACGCGCATCCCTTACCGCTATCTACTCGAGCCCGACTACTTCATCAACAACGCTGAGATAAGGAAAGAGATGGCCTACATGTGGTTTCGAACTTCAAAATTCGGCCTCCAAGATCCCTCAACCATCGCTTCTTCTCTCCTTCAGTTCCCGTGGAGTGCTGGTTTGAAACCGCTCACAATATTAAGCCACGTCCTCGTAGTAGCATATACTAGATACGAACCCGACGATGAGCCCGACGAACTGGAACGATCATTAAAGCCCCTGCTTCTTCTCAATACCACAGCAGCCATCACGATCTATGTGGAAAATCTTATTCACTACCCAGATTTTGAAGACGCAGAAGTTGTTGTGTCAATGAGAACATGTGCGCAGAGGGCAGCATATCTCTTCCCAGAATTGGTTGAACTGAGAAGCAGGGGATACAAGGTGACTGTGCGTTCTGAATTTGGCCTGGAGTTCTTAGTCGAGTCTGAAGAGACTACTGTGGAAGGGTGGACAAAGATATGCGAAGCGGCTGTTGAAGAGGCTCGCATAAAGCTCTGGAAAGCAGAGTATAGTGAAGATTTCGGGGACTGGGACAAAATGGAGGAAGCGTCACAGAAGTACATCTCGGATAGTTCACAGCACTACTATTCGGACGATCCACAAGAGGAAGATTCGGATGAGTCACACGAGGATGGGTCGGACGGGTCACAAGAGGATGAGTCGGACGGGTCACAAGAGGATGAGTCGGACGGGTCACAAGAGGATGAGTCAGACGAGTCGCAAGAGGATGAGTCGGATGAGTCGCAAGAGGATGATTCGGACGAATCACAAGACTGGTATTTGGAACAGCCGCGAGAAACGTAGTTCTCGTATTACGCGACCCGCTCAAAAACATCGGCACCGACCTGAGAATTGTCAATTCAATGCGTCGAAGGCTGGGGTCCCATAGGCTACCGGATGCCATCAGGTGTCGAACGTAAGCCTTGGTTTCAGTGTATCGCGACCATGGTTCTCAAGAAAATCTCATTTTAACAACCAAAGTACACCACAGTCACATCGAATGCTAAGCCGAAAGAGTTTGGATGTGCCATCTTTGCTCCTTAAATCTGTACTTCCCCAATATTTTTGTGCATCGAGCCTTGAACACACAGATTTCCTCGATTGTATAATCAGCAATACATCTTAGAGATTAACTATCCTGCGTAGCACGAGATGGCGCAACAGTGAGTAGCGATGTCAGCGCTCCAAATTTCGATAGCTAACGAGCGAAAAGAGCCGAGATAGGTCCTTCAAATCTCTGGGATCCCATCTATGATGAAGATTCTGAGGATGAGATGAACACTTTCCTTAAAGAGTATGTAATAGGCTTCCGTTGCGATCGAGATAGTCATTGACATCGAACAGAGCATCGTTCCGACTGGAAAACGCTAAAAAGCTTTCACACGCTGTCTGGCTATTGGATGTCGACGCAGACGTGCCTGCGCTTTTGACCACTGAACAGCAAACAGTCCTTGGAAAAACAGACGGCGTCGCTAAGAGCATCATCAAGCAAACCAAATGCGAGGTAGACAATTGCATCAGGTCTCGCGAAGCGCCGCGCTGCCGTGCGTTGCTCGAGGAAGTACGCAAGCGATTATGTCAAGAACTCCGCGACACGATATACGGGTTCATCTTCCAAGGCCAACGAGTCGAATTAGACGAAGACCATGAAGTCAGCGGACACGAGAGCATTAGAGGTATTAGCAAAGCTAACCTAGAGTGCCGGTCTGACACCTACCTACTGACTCCCGGCTACTTCACTCAAGACGATCCGGTCAGGCTCGAACTGGTCAAAGCGTGGTATCGAAATGCGACCTTCCTTGTTATCCATCCCAAATTCATTTGCAGATCTCTCAGAAGATTGCGATGGTCCACCAATTTGAACCCGGTCCAATTCATCAAGAGGTTTGAGATCAAGGTACGGATCGGTGGCGAAATGTTTGATCAGGAATGCTTCACGGAGAGACTTGAGTTGCTCGGGCATTTCCACAGGACTTGCCCGATTGTTACGATTATATTGGAGAACCGCTTTGAAAATATGTATGACGGTCATGATGCGCAGGCATGCGCTCAACACGCCGCATACATGTTTCCAGCGTTGCTGTCACTGCATCGTTTGCGGTTCAAACTCATAGTTCGAGCCGAGTTGAACTTGAAGTTCGTGGTGGTACCGGAGGAGACTACCGTGGAAGAATGGACCAAGAAGTTCCATGAGGCGATCGAGTCGCCACGCGCTCAAGCTTCCTTGCAGGAAATCGAACGAAAAGCTCTTGCATCAATGCGTCGGAGGGGATGGTAGGACATGGAATGAAAGCTGTGCGCACGTGTTACCGCTAGGCATCACCAGCGTTTTCCGCTTATACCTCTCCACGAACAGCAGACCCGCACCACCACTTAACACTTGCACTCATTGTCATTTCTTCAATTCCACACTCAAGTTGACAGCAAAACATCATGTCAGTGAGCATCGACAGCAGCGTCACAGGAGCAACGCCAACTCCAGTCCCCAGCGGTGCGCGACTTACCTCTGCTGTGGAAGGGTAAGTTCGTCAAATACATTTTGCGGGCGGTGATAATGAATTTCAATAGATGCTCCGAGTCGTCTACATTGAATCATACAAATACCAGTGTCGCTGGGGAGAATATTGTATCCGCCACTCCAGACGAAGATCGGAAGTACCTTCAAACGTATGCGCCATCTGGTTGTGAAAGAACAACAGCTGACCTCCAACAGCGAGTTCCAGAAGCTGAAAGTCCTAAAGAAGATTATAGACGCGCGCGTCGGAGAACTGAACGCCGAGAATCAAATCTTCTGTCTACGCAATAGTTGTCCAGTCAAGGAGCCTTCTCACGAAACCGGTCGATACCAACGGATGTTCAGACTACAGGAAGAAGCCCGGAATATTGCTGGTGAGATCAACCACCGTATGAAGCGCTATGCAGCAGCGCAGTGTCTCCCCATCTGCACTACGGTCTGCGACAAACTACCCCGCGAGCTTCGCGACATGATATACCAATACATCATCGGGGAGTCGATCGTGAAGATTGATAAGGAGGTACTGGAATCTTTCCTCTTTTGTTCTGAAATCGGTTTCACGCCCATGTTCCCCGCAGGGTTCACGAATCGCACCACCATTGCCTGCAAGCATCTCTGGGATCGTGATTACTCCGGCAAGCTCTTCTACTCCGAGCTCTTCGAGGTCTGGTACCGCAATACAACATTCTCCTTCGTGGAATGTCGTCTCGTCCCTTACTTCCTCAACAATCCGCGCTTCGGCTACGGAGTAAAACCGCGAGAGTGGGTCCGCAAGATCAAAATCATCAGGATCACGACAACGGAGAGCGTCCTCTCTATATACAGGGCAGAAGAGAAGGCATATAACATCAAGACCGGCGATCTCGATAATCTCAAAGACATACCCAAGCTAACGCGTGTCAAATTCGACTTTGATGCAGCTTTTACGTCACTTCCCACGTATCACGACAATTACAGGCGATTTGTATTAACGGATCTGAAGGAGATGTTTCCGAAGATTCAAGATCTACTAGATAGGGAGTGTGGAGTATCGGTAATGTTCTCCAGTATGGGGCCGATCGAAATGCGAAGGGATGAGCTTACTTCTCGAATATGGGAGGATAAGCTAGAGGCTATCAGGCCTGATTAGACGATGTACATAACACCCAAAAGGGCA